TCTCTGAAAGGGTTGTCAGCCACTGGAATAGGCTGCCCAGGGAGGTGGTTGAGTCCCCATCCCTGGATGTGTTTAAGAATAGGGTGGATGATCTACTACCATAAGCGATATGGTTTAATGGGGATTAGGGACGGTTGGACTTGATGATCTCTAAGGTCTTTTCCAACCTAGAAATCTATGAAAATCTATGAAATCTATGAAACTGCAGTTGCATTGCAATCAAAATCTCTTATCTGTTGAATTACTAATGTTTGAAAAAGTATACAGATTAGAAACTGAAATGCATCACATAAAACCTGCTTAGCCTTGTTATGGTTACAAGGTAGAGTTTTCCACTTAGAAAATACACAGAACAGTGTATTTCCCTGGAAGTGTTCAAGGCCAGACTGGATAAGGCTTTGATCAACCTGGTGTAGTGGAGGGTTTCCCTGCCCATGGCAGGGGGGTTGGAACCAGATGATCTTTGAGATCCCTTCCAAGCCTATCTATTCTATGATTCTGTTTGCTTTTTATCACAGAAACAAGCTTGCTGATGCTTTTATTTGCACCTAGGTAAGATTTTTAATAAACTGTTTCAGATATTTATTTCGATAAGCTTTTCTATGTATTTTTTTTTTCCAGTCATTTTCTGGTGGTGGATATAGATTGGGTGACTCATCACAAAAGCACTCTGAATACATATGTGGAGAAAATCAAGATGTAAGTAAAATTCTGAATAGCAGGAGGGAGAATCTCCACCAGATGTCTGCTTAATCATCTTTACAGCTTGAAATGCCAATATTACTGTAACTATGTCTATGAGGGAAAACTAATATCTAAATATTATATATGTGTTAAGTAGAAATTGTTAAAGTGAAAATGTCTGCAGAGGACAGATGTTCATTGGATACCCCTAAGGCCACCATTATGGAATTTTCTGACATAAATTACTTTGAAATTCTTAGCAGACATTCTTCTCAGTTACTTTCCTCCAGCTGCTGTTCTGCATTCAGTTAACTATGCTAACGTTTTAATCCTCTTAGGTTAGGAATTGTTTCTTACTGGGCTTGCACAGTAGCCAATCTTAAACTGGAGGGCATGGATGTATTCCAGGAGCAGTGAAGGAGAAGGTTAGAGGCCTTTTGAAAATTGTCTGGCCTTTCTTTTCTCTCACTTTAAAAGCAGGAAATAAAAGAGAGGGTGGGGAAAAACCAAGTTCTCTGTACTTTGCCGTTTGTGTGAATAGCTAGAGCAAATGTTAATTTTATCTAGAAACAAAACCAAGAAATGAGAAAGACCAAAGGATATAGTGCAGGCTGGAGGGTGCTATCGTGTCACACCAGGAGCTGCTACCTTCTTGAGTAATCCTTCTACCCTCTAAATAGTAGCCATCTATTCTGAGCCAGAAGCCTGTTGCGGCAGAGTTACCATAAATGGTGGCAGGGATAGTTTTCTAAGGAAAGGCCATTTTCTCTGGCTAGGGCAACCTAGTTGTGCTCAACTGCAAGGCAGTTGCAGGAAAGAGAAGTGCAGGCTCTGAAAGACTGGCTGGATGTACAGCCATGCAGCAAAATAAGGAGGGAAAGAAGGAGGCTGTTTTCCAGGATTCTCAGCATTTGAACTGAATGGAGCTAGCATCAACTTTATTTGAGCTCAGCCTGTAAAAAGTTGAGGAAAGAAGAATTTTCACTGTAACTGATGTATCAGCAGTAATTTGTAATTTTTTGGATTTATTTCTTAATTTGTCATCAAGAAATGTTTACTGTTTTGGACAGTAACTGGAACACTGAAGATCACTGCACAGTCACTGTATCATCTGGTATGTCATGGATAGCGGATTAAGAGATTCTTTTTCCCCAAGCGTAAAACTGGTCTTGAAGCAGATAGTAGTCTGTAACTACGATTTGCTTTTTTTAAAGGATTCTAACACTGATAGTTACAGTGCAGTGTTCTGTTGGTTTGTCGCTCGCATCCTTGTTTGTGATCTGCTACAAAGTCGGTTAGGTATAGATGGAAAATTGTATAACTAGTCTGTATGAGACTGAAATACCTTGTTTTATCTGTCTTCGCTTTTTATTTCACTGGTTTTTCTTCATAGGTTCAAATTTTGCTGAAACTGTGGAGGAATGGCTTCAGTTTAGATGATGGCGAGTTGAGATCCTATTCAGACCCAACAAATGCTCAGTTTCTTGAGTCTGTTAAAAGAGGGTAAGTTAAAATGGCAACTTTTTTGAGGTATGTCTTTGAAGTGAAGAAAAATACTTTCTCCACATGTTTATAATTATTAAAAGCTCCAGGCTTCTCTGCCTGCACCTGTCAAATACATTCTGTATTTGTCGTCAGATGCGTGAGACGTTTAAAAATTTGGAACGCTTTAGTTCCTTCCGGTGGTTTGGCTCTGAATGTTACTTGTTACAGACGGCTTTTAATTTCACGTGTTTTGTTAGTGCATTCTAGGTTTGGACTGTCAGCTCACTGATTTTTTTTTTTTTTTTTCTTCCTTTAGGATGAAATCAATTCATAAAGCAGTCAGGCGTCTATGACTTTTAAAGTTAACATATTAATAGTATCGACTCGTATTGTACTGTGTAAGGTTTCTCTGTAATTTTGTATTGCAGTTCAGAACGTAATTGGGAAACTTCTGTTTTTGTAATTAAGGGAAATTCCTGTGGAACTGCAGCGACTTGTTCATGGTGGCCAGGTTAATTTGGATATGGAAGACCACCAAGAACAGGAATATGTGAAGCCTAGACTACGATTCAAAGCTTTCAGTGGCGAAGGGCAAAAACTTGGAAGGTAAAAAATGCTAGGTTTTCTGTTCTGTTTTCATATGCTATTTCAAAAGCTAGATTTAATCAATTAGGAGACTGTTGGAGAAGCTAATCAGATGACAAAAGCAATATAAAATTATTCTGTGCCACAAGTCTCAGCCCTGATTTCAGAGTCACCAGTAATCATGAAAGTTTATATCTTAAATCTTAAAAAAAGTTGTCTTAGTCCCCTGTCAGAACTGCTTATAGATTTGCTGGATGGTTTGTTGTGACTGTGAGATTTCTCTGCCCATTCTTGCATTATAATTTTGCCTATATTTCTTTTTTTCGCTTCTGCCGTGTTTAAAACGGGAGCAAAGGAAGCTGTAAGGTGGTTAGTACAGTACAAACTGTACTGAGAAAATCTCTAGATAGAGGAAGCTCTGCTCTGCTTAGCTGCAGTGCATGTTGTCTTTTGCTGCTGGGATCATCACATAAGGAATAAGAGATGCTATTGGAGCAATATGGCTGATGCCTGACTTAATGCGGATGGAAAAGTCTTTTTGTTTGGGAGCGACTCCCATATTTTTTTCTGGAATGAAGCAGCAGAAATACTGTCCTGAAATATGTAACCTTGTAAATGGTCACTCATTATATAAGGCAAGTCTGTTAGCTTTAAGAAAGAGAATTAATTTGATAAACTATTTTTTTAAAAAAACTTTGATCCAAAATAAATGAGCAATAAGTTCTATCAAAATCTCTCAACTCTAACTAGGATTTGATTAAAACTTCAACTGATGCTGCAAAAATCTGTAGTAAGACCTGTTTTCTTAAAAGCAAAAAAACAGAGAGTGGACATGTTCCCCTAGATGAAATAATACTGCAAAGTCTGGATTGTGAGAGAGCAGAGGCTAAAGTTTTAACCTCTGATTGGAGCCCCCACTTCCTCCACTTCCAGTGTCATCTCCAGCTATAGTATAAACTTCATGTATGCAGTAAAAAAAAAAAAGAAATTCAATGATTTAGAAAATCTTACACCTGATTCTGTTTCTTTTGCTGTCCTCGTGCAAGGGTAGGCTGATGCTGTTAAAACTCTAACGTATGTGTAATTCAATTGAATTACAAAAGTTCATTTCTGTGACTGAATGTTTCAGACTACTTTGTCCAAAAGTGCATAATCGCTGCTCAGCTTAAATCGGTCAGTAAGAGTAAACAGTAACGTGACCTCAACTCTGCCAATCATCAGCTTTTTCACGTAATAGTTATAGGCTTTACAGCATCGTTTTCAGCTGATTTGATATTAGCTGTTGAATTGTAAATACTTCTAGGTTTCTGTTCATGATTGCCTTTATTCATGTAATATGTTTGGTTGCCAAAAAAAGGTATTACTGGTGTGCTTCTGCAAGTAATTTAAGTCAATAAATGATCCTTAACTGTTTCAAATCTATATTTCCTCGTTAAAAATGAGGAAAATGTGCTCCGTAAAACTGAGAAAGTGGTAAGCTCTGGTAGGGGTGACATAGGAAACAATTATATATAACTTCTTCACCTGAGCACTTGCTCAGATTATTAAAAAAAATAGTTGGGGAAGAGAGGAGGTTCTGTGTATAGGAAAATGTGCACACCTTTTGTGTGGCATTTTTGTTTGTTTTGGTAACTTGTGAAGTCTCAGGTATGTAAGCAATGAAAGTAGCAGCCAGCCAAATGATTATCTCCACTCAGATTTATATTCTTTGTATCCTAAATGTAAAAAAATTTTATGCTTAATTATGTGGTGGTGTCAATTACCTGATAATATCATTTGTGCTTTAAAAGGGTGGGGGATGCACAGAATCATAAAGCAGTGCTCCTGAAAGCAATTACTAAAGCAGTTTGGGTCAGTTAAGTGCACTACAATGGTGCATAATTATTTTTTTAGTATAGTTCAGGCGGTATGATATATAAATCTTACTATTGAAGACTGTAATTTCATACTCTGTAAGCATCAACAAAGATAGTATTGTTTGTACTTGATTACCTATTTGAAATCATGCAAATGTAATGATATGCACAGTTATAAGAAAAATAAATGTGACATTGCAATTACTGACAAGAAATTACAAAAGCATTATTTATGTCTCTGTTAGAAAAGCTATGTTTATGCTTAGTGCAGTAGCTTTGAGAGGATTTTCGTTGCTCATTTGTGCTAGCTGTACGTGGTAGTCATTCAATGAAAAAGACAACTGAAACATTCAGTTCAGGTTTGACTCCGCTAGTAACATCTGGTTTCATTTTTTTCCAATCCTTTAGCCTCACACCTGAAATAGTCAGCACACCTTCTTCCCCAGAGGAGGAGGAGAAATCCATTCTTAATGCACCTGTTCTGATTGATGATTCCATGCCAGCAACTAAAATTCAGATTAGATTAGCAGATGGAAGCCGATTAATACAAAGATTTAATCAAACACACAGGTAAATTGATTCTGCATCAATGAAGGTAACCGTAACTATTTCAATAAGTTTGTGTTTTGTCATTAAATGAGTATCAGCAAGGCATCAGAAAGGGGAAAATACAGCTCCACTGAAATGCTATAGCTCTGTGTCATTTTCATGACATAGGTTAAAGTAAGATATATGGATAAATTGACTGTCAAAGCAAAATTCTATACTTGAAAACACAAGGTATTTGATAACTGCAAAGTTGCAAACTTTTATGACCAATTATGTCCTGTGGTTTGTAAGGACGCAGTACGAGCTGTCACTGTTCTCACAGCGACCGAAATCTGGGCAACCTCGCTATGTAGTCGTCCCAACCCTGGGCCCTTCTTGGGAGGAGCATGTGGCTGACCCAGATGACGCTGTGAAGACGCTTTAATGCAAGATGTGGAGTATAGTCTCAGTTGGAATATAGTCCACACTATGGGCACAGAAATCCTGTGGCTCGTAATCAGGAGCTCCAGCTTACTGCCTTGTAATACTTGAGAGTGTGACTAAACACGACATATAGAATCATAGAATGGCTAGAGTTGGAAGGGACCTCAAAGATCATCTAGTTCCAACCCCCCTGCCATGGGCAGGGAAACCCTCCACTACACCAGGTTGCCCAAAGCGTCATCCAGCCTGGCCTTGAACACTTCCAGGGATGGGGCATCTACAACTTCTGTAGACTGTGATCCACACACAGAAGGGTATATGGACATAACAGGCTTATTTAGAATTCTGGCTTGTAGGCTGGACATAATACTGAGAGCCAGCCTTTGTTTTGTTTTGTTCTGGATGGTCATCTCCCAGGACTTAGCAGCGTGTGAACTTGGTGGGCTTTTTAGATCTGTTAGTAGTTTGCTCATTAGAGCTTGCCATCGGTTTTATTGACATTGTTGGGGCATTGCCACCAATGGTGTTGGCCAACCCCATTTATTTGCCTAAGAGGTTGTGTTAGTGCAAGGTTCTTCAAAGCTCCGCTTTGCACTGCGTGGCTGAGAGAACTTTGGGCAGAGGGCAGAGATTTGGGCAGTAGTTCTACCTGTGCTTCACAGAAAGTAGGGTTCAAGGCAGCCCTGATCTGAAATCTGCACCTTTGGGTTAGAACACAGCTGAAACTGAGCTTGAATCCTGCCTTGGAGGTGGTCTTAGCATGGACCCAATTCCATGTTAATATTGTTACATGGAGAGTTTGCCTGTTCCCTTTTTTTCTTTGAGCTCAGAATAAGGGCAGAGCCGATATGCAGGTTTTTTTTACCTGGCAACATACACAGACCACAATGAGGCAATTTTAGCTGAGATGCCAAGAGGGAGGAAGATACAGCAATAATTTTTCATATTTTATCAGACCTGATAATGTACGCTGATAGTACAGGCCCAGATCCTTCCTTCGTAGCACCCGCTGGAGAAATGATAAACAGCAGGGCTTATTGGGAGCCTCTGTAGCCATGTTGTGTTTTCTTCTGTCTGCATGAAAGGGTAGAAGTGGTAAACTTCCCAGTAACATTTGTAACCAAGGGTGCATTGACAGGAGCTTATTTTAATCGTTATTAACTTTCTCTTGGATGTGGACCTCTTTAGTTATTCTTGCTATATGTGTGATCAAAATCAGCTGTTGAAGTGCATTGCTTGTGTCATAAGCCTTGAAAACTGATAGAAACTTGAAGTCCCTGGTTACTTGGCTACTGTAAATCTGCCTACTTAGTTAAAATAGGTCTTCAAAGTTTATTCTCAGCTTGCTGTTTTAGGGGAGAAACCTCAAATTTCAGTTCATCTCTAAAATCTTACTTATTTTGCATCCATGTCTTATAAGACTAAATGATTTGTTGTACTGTTGATGTGATTGTTTTATGAACTATCATTCAGAAGTTCCATGCCAAGTGAAAGCAGGGGAAACCTCTTGCTATTGAAGTGCATTAATAATTCTCTGCTTTCTCATCACTGTCATCATATATTTTAAGATTCCTCCTTCAATCAATAATTTAGCCTTTTTGGAATATACTAATTAATCATGAAATATTTGACAGCTGGTGTAGAAATTACTTGACTTTCTATTGTAAGTATCAGTTTGCAATATACTTCTTTGTTACAAACTTTATTTCTGTTATTTGACAAAAAAAGCAACATTCATTTCAGTTTTTCAGGTTTTGTGTGTGAGAAGCAAAAAATTATGGGCTACAACCATTAGTTATCTGGATCAAATGGAAATGCAAAATCAATAGGACATATTAAATGGTTTAGTCTGTTAGAAGGTTTTGTGTTTTCTGATCATCTTGGTGTTCAGAGATTTATGTCAAAATGGAATCATACACGGTTTTTATGTCTATATCCTTTCCACAGGATTAAGGATATTCGAGATTTCATTATCCAGTCCCGTCCAGCATTTGCAACAACTGATTTTGTTCTTGTGACTACCTTTCCAAATAAAGAGCTAACAGATGAAAGCCTGACACTACAAGAAGCAGATATACTTAACACTGTGATTCTTCAGCAATTAAAGTAATCTTACAGTTATTGGTACAATTTAGGGAGTGTGCTGTGTTGTCATACAATATGTTTCCAACAGATGAAAAAAAGTGTCTTTTTATTCTCCTACTTCCATGGATCAGACTTTTGAGTTTTATGTCTTCCAGCTATAACATATCTAACTTTTGTATTTTAATTTCTCAACATTGTTCAAGCTTTTTTCAGTGTTAAAATTGAGCTTCCTTATGTTAGTAAGTTTCAAACCACATTATGTACTTAATGTGAAATGAGATATGACTTAATTATTGTGAGGGGGGTGGGGGGAAAAGCGTTTTTCTGAAGGAGACAGTATCTTTCATACAGTTGGTAAGATTTGCACTATGGAAATGTTTTATGCTGCATTGACAAACAGCCATTTGAAAACTTAGCCTGTAAGTTATGTTTACCTTCCAAGCTGTATTAATAGTAAGGTGTTCTGTTCAATAGGTTGACAGATAATTAATGTCCTAATATAGTTTTTGTATATTTTGTTTATAGTGTTTCACAGTGCAGTGTAATATTTATATTCTAGTTTTAATGTAATTTTCCATGTATCGTTGCTCATATGAGTGAATCAATTCAGAAGATGCAAACCTCAGCTTGAGGTTGTTTTCATTTATATTCTAGCTGTTCTACTTGTAGTGAAAATAAGTATGAATTTTTTTTTCTTCTTGAAGTTACAGAAATGGGAGAAACTGCTGTCATCTGGAGAAATGCTGTGATTTAGATTTTGTGAGAGTAGGCCTGTGGTCATTTTGAACCTGGATGTGCAGTTGAACCCTGTGCAGCTACATGATTCTTCCCATGAACATGGGGTTACTCAGATAACCCCAAACAAAAAACACCCAGGTGCACAAACACAGACCTTATTTATGCTGTCACTTGCATGCACAGAAGAAAACATGTTAATTGGTCGTGTATTTTTGACCTGAATTTTCAGGTCTTTGTATTTGGAATTTTGGCCAAAGGCATTTTGTAATATTCAATGAGGATTTGGTTGTGCAGCTATCATTATAGTTGTTTGGAAGCTGTGTAATTAAACCCCTTAATCTTTGAAATTATATATTTTTTCAAATAAATGGGCTCTACACTGCAGTACGCAGGTACGAGTCTTATGTTGTGGGCAAACTGGCTGCTGTGCTTTCATAGGATGCAGTTTTATAATATTTGTGGCTTTATATCAGACGAGTTGGTCACACTCTGAAGGACAGTAAATGGGCTGTATCTCTTGTGCCGATATGTGTTAAAAATGCTGTTTTCACACATTATTTTATTCTAAAAATATCAATGCTTATTTATTCATTCTAAGCTTATCATTGCTCAGGATAGTTGACTGATGTTACATTTTTACCTCAAAGTAGATATTTGAGTAAATTTTAAACGTGCAATTGTATTTGAAGTATTTTGGTTTGTAGTCTGAATATCTGCATGATTTTAATAATAATTCATTTCACATGTTAAATAATTAAAGTTTTAAGCTAAAAAGACCCTAGGCAACACTTCTTCTTTTCTTCACAATTTATATTCTGTTGAAGTGGTGACTGTGTTGCAGGCCAAATATTTAAGCCTAAACGGAAAGGACTGGATGCTTACTATGCATATATTTTATATACTATCAGTTGCTCTTGGGCAGTCTGTGGTTTGGGCACATTTTAGTTCAGAATATAGGTGAAGTTACATTGCTTATTACTTCTGAAGACCACTATTAATTAAAGACTGACGTATGAAGGACAGTGGTTAACTAAATTGTTTTTTTTTTCTCTTATTGTACCAAAAACCTCAACTGCATACTATCAAAACTTCTGTTTCAAATAGCTGGTAAACTTTAGTGTTCGGTAACAACTGACAGTAACTAGGGGTCCCAGTAGTTAAAGTTATTTTGTCAAGCACTAAGAAAAGATATCGATGTTTGTGTTCAAATATTTCACTGCTTCTGAGTACTTTAAAACCTATAGAATCTTCTGTCTCAATTTTATGTCATACCTTTTATTAACATTAAATTCTCACTCTTGTAGCTAACTTCTTGGCATTTTTGGCACAAAACAGTTGAGTACAGACCTATGTGGATATACAGTTAAGACTGGCTACAGGGAGAAGGGAGACTGAAACGAGGGAGAAGGAACTTGGTAAAGGATGATGATCTTTTCCCTCACAGGAAGGTTGCTGAGCTTCTTGACAATTCTTCTTAGCTTCCATGAAATACAGGTAATAATCCTGTCACTTGCTCTTGTAAGCAGCTTAGGAAGGCTCAGGCTTCACCTCCGCTTGTCTTTCCCAGAAATCCTTTACCACACAAGAGCCAAATAATCCAAAACTAACTATGTTCTCTTAAGAAAATATCTCTGGACCTGGATACTTGTGCTATCAAACTTGTTACTTTTTGGGGTTTTCTTTTTTTCAGCAGCACATTCAGATGTTTGTAAACATTCTGCTTTAAACAGACTACTGGACACACTTGTACAATTAGCAAATATTAACAGCTATCTTCTGCTGTTCTCACTCTTTGGTGAAAATCTGTCCAATACTAAATGAACCAAGGAAGAGCATGCAGGCGCTCAGAAGTGCTATTACTAGCTCCCTGCGTAGCTGCGTGCACCAAGCTAAAGCTCTCGTGATCTTTAGTTGTATTATTCTGTGCAGGGGCAATAGGCTGAGATGCACCTTCCCCTTGCTCGTGCTGATTAAGTCTGACAGGCCTCAGTGTAGGCATGTGCTGTTCTAGGGGCAGATGAGACGATGAGCAGCAAGAGTCTGGAATAATAAATACTGAATTCATGGCACGCCAAAAGCAGTAAGCTCCTGGTGTTTCTTTGGGATGGATATAGTGGGAGTGAGTAGGACTGATACTGTTTAGCTGCTCATCAATTACTTGAAAATAAACTTTGAAAACCCAAAGATTAGTGCAATGGTAAACAGTAGGCAGCAACTATGATGAACGTGTAGTGAACTGTAGCAATCGGATCAATTGCATCCCTAATACAGCCAAATGTCGAGTTATGAATCTGGAACCAACTGTGAAGGACGCTAATAGCCTGGAAAGCACTGGCCCTGGGAAGGAGTTATATGACAGCAGGAAAACAACGCAGCAGAACTATTTTACACCCCTTTGAGGTTTACAGAGTTGACTTTGTGACTGGGAGATGATTTTTACCCGTGTGTTTGTTATTGGTAAGTTTGATACTGTTTATGGTGCTGGTCCTCCGTAAGAACTTTAGAGATGAAGCAAAAAAAAAAAAGATCAGTGCAAATGCTGAATTAAATATCTTATCTTAAAAAGAGCTCAAAACAGGGAGCTTACCAGGAAGAAAATGAAGAGATGAGGTGATTTAGAGCAGGTAGTTCTCAGGGCAGGAGGAAAGTAATATGGGACTGCTTTGTAGAGAAAAGCGTAACAAGAATTAGAAGCTTGTACAAAGCTGGAAGCTCAGTTCAGGTATTTTCAAAGTGAAATTAAAACCCATTTTTCAATAGTTGAACTACTGGAATGAACCAGCCTTGAAAACTTCTCTATCTACTGTTTTCTGTTTAATTCTCATTGTTATGCTGGATTTCTCTAAGATTTGTTTAAATTAAATTAAATTTATTTGGGTTTTGCTACAGAGACAACAAGGTAAAACAAAATGGTTTAGTATTTGGATACCAATTTACTTTGTCTGGTCATATTTAACAATTAATGCTGTATGTTTCAAATTAAAGGCTGGAAATGCCAAGTACCTCACTGTGCATCTTCAGTATTTTTATTACAGACATTCCAAAAAAAGTCTGCTGAACTTTACACAGGTGATTAACAGAACTCAGATTACAGACCAGAAGTCACCTTCTTGCACTTCTTACTTGCAGCTCTCCTCCTTTAGTAATGGTCTCATTCTGTCCGTAATTGAAGAGCTCCATGGCAGCACATCTGAATGTTAAAGGAAGGAAACTAAGTTTAAAAAATGTTTTTCATTTAAGACTAAGAAGTGGGGAGGGTATCCAGTTTTGTCAGTTTACTGGGAGCTGTCTGCTTTTGAGTTAAATATGTGATCTAGAACCTACATATTTGGGCTCTTTTTCTGGGATATGAGGAGATAGATGTGTTATTCCAAACTACTGTAAAGCAAACTGAGTGAGACTTTCTTAACTGTGGAATTGAAAAAAAAAAAAAAAAAAAAAAAAAAAAAAAAAAAAAAAAAAAAAAAAAAAAAAAAAAAAAAAAAAAAAAAAAAAAAAAAAAAAAAAAAAAAAAAAAAAAAAAAAAAAAAAAAAAAAAAAAAAAAAAAAAAAAAAAAAAAAAAAAAAAAAAAAAAAAAAAAAAAAAAAAAAAAAAAAAAAAAAAAAAAAGTTTAGGGAATTATTCTGGAAGAGCTACTATTTTACATTCATAAATCCACCTCAGTCCAAATTAATTTGGTGAGATCTTAGACCATTTAAATACTAATGAGCAAGTAATCTCCAATGGAAACACCCAGGAGTCATTTCTCCTGTATGATATTTTTTTCTGAAATTTGAATAGAAGGAATGAATTACACAGGGCTATGAAGCTGGTATTTATTTCATGGAATTCTTAGTGTCTTACTAGATGCTGATACTAAAAATTTTGATTGTCTATTTTAGCAAAAAAAATAGAATTCATAGTGTTTACTAGCTCTATCGTAAAAATTACCAAATAATTGCACTTTGAGGAGAAAATACATTTTCTGATTTCTGAATTAAAATTAAATTTTAATTAACTTTTTCTTGTTAATAGCTATCTACAGTGTTTTGGACCAATGAAAGCTTTAGAACTTCAGTGCCTGCATATTGCAAACCCTCCCAAATGTTCCATTTGAGTGAACAGAATTCAATTCTGTTTATCTTGCAGTTGTTCCTAATCAAGTTAAATGAAATCATCATTAATCAGATGTTCACAATGTAAATGTCCTTACAGTCTTTTGTGCTGATTTAGTTAATGCATTTTGAATTAGATTTTACAAATAAAAATCTCTGCCTGAATTTGAAAATGTAAATGCTGATATTTTGGGAAAGTTTTCAATTAATAGAGAAAAACTTAAGGTATTTGTTTCTACTTGCATTTGAATTGTCCCCATCCCCAGATGTGTTTAAGAATAGGGTGGATGATTTACTTAGGGATATGGTTTAATGG